GAGAGAGAGAGAGAGAGAGAGAGAGAGAGAGAGAGAGAGAGAGAGAGAGAGAGAGAGAGTTCTTGGCTTTACTTTTATACACAGCGAATATGAAAGTTGAGTACTCTTGAGTTGAGTTAAATGTTTTAACCCACTAAACTAATTAACAATCAGATTAATCTAGCACAATTTGTGGTGCACAAAATTATTATGGCTTCATTGGGTGTAAATGGGAAGCAGTTCACACAGATGACTGCAATTAGTATCACTTGTGTACAGATAAAAACATGCTCTCTGGTCTGTTAGGGAAAGATGAAGAGGAACTGAAGGAGGCTGAAGTCTTTGGCTTTTCATTTAGGTTTCAGGTTTCAACAATAAATAATAATTATGTAATAGAGTAATACAAAATAATATTCACTCAGTGTATATAAAACAACAGACACTGAGTGAGGTGTTTGATGTAATTACCATAAATTATATGCACAACTTCATTCTGTGATTGGCATTATGATTCTACCACTACAAAAATGAAAGGTGACCATGAGGTTAAGAAATAGGTGCCAAGTGGCATAGAGTATGACCTGAGCTCACGTCTCAGTGACTATAGGCCTGGCCCAGTAGCCAGTTTACCTTCCTCCAGATCTATGTTGTAAGGAACACAGACTCCAATTCCCTAGAAGAGTGCCCCATGCACTGCCTGCTCCCTGTTGTCTCCCTTCTTCCTTCCTACACACATGGCGAAAGCTATGATATTTCTAATGAAAACTTCTGCCTGGCATGTGTGCTGTCTACTACATGGACATGTGTCTGTCTTCTCTCATTCATGGCTTCTCTGAGAACCTCCATGGAGAAAACTAGGGATCAAACCCTTGCTTAGCCTGGCATTATAAGCTGTTTTGCCTCAAACAGTTTTCTCCATGGAGGTTCTTAGAGAAGCCATGACTCAGTAAAATAGCCATTGGGCCAAATACAGTCCCTATCCATCTTTTATACTTTATTGGGACATAGCCATGGCCATTTATTTACACACTGGTAAGCTTGCTTTTGTCCTATATGGTGTGTGTACATGTGGGTTCAAAACCCATATGGCCTGAAGAACCTGAACTATTTACCTTGTGGGCATTTACAGAATGTGTTTGCTGGCCCCGGATCTAGGGTGCAAGAAGATTTCCTTGCTGAGGTGGAGGGGTCTCTGGAGAGGGCGGTCTTAAAACAGTTTCGACAAGAACTATTCTTGTTAGCCTGTTTGCACCACTCACTCAATTCTACTCTGTAGAAGAGTGATGCTCCATTAAAAAGTGTATTTTAAAATATAACTATGGAGAAATGCTTTACAAAGCAAAAGATATTCTATATAGTTCTGAAAGTCTGTAAACTACTTTAAATATTTCTGAGAATTTACAGGGATGCTCCAATGATAGATGGCCTTGTTTACAAACTGGCAAAAATGTATGAAAACTATGTTTTTCTTTTCATTTCAGATTTTCCTCTCTGTCATAGTAGCAGCTATGAACTTTGGCCATGCATCTTCTTCCTTGGAAATCTTTGCCACTGGGCGGTCAGCAGCTACCAGCATTTTCCAAACGATAGACAGGGTGCGTAAAAGCCAAAAGAAATAGGTGGTGGGATGTGTGCTGTACGGGTTCTACGAGCTGGGAACCCATCTGTGAGTTAGAACAAATTATGTTCCTACTCATACTCTTGCTGGGAGATAACTGCAAAGAAATACAGTTTGTTTGAGACAGGTTTTTACCACGTTGTCCTGGCTGGTCTGGTACTAGCAACATAGACCTGTCCATAAGATCCACCTGCCTCAGGCTTGTGTGTGCTGGGATTAAAGGTGTGAGCCACCACACCCAGCAAGAAATAAACATTTAAAGATAACATCAGGTAGTGCTAAATCCAGTAAGAAAGATAAAATAGGACTAAGTGTTTTGACTGGCTAGTGGGAGGAATCTTTAAACGGGGTTCATGGGAAGTCAGAACAAAGAAAGACTTCCTGGTTGAGAAACTTCCAGGTTTGGAAAGAGCGTGGTGAGCTCAGGGAGTTAAGAAAGTCCAATATGAATGAACGAAGTGATCCAGGGCAAAGGCTAAAGGGATGCCTGGGAAAGGCCTTAAGGTCACGTTCATGAGCCTGGATTTTCATCTGGCAGGAAGTCTCTTTAAGTTTTTAAAGGACTTTGGTAGCCCTGGGTGGATTTTGCTGGTTAATTTATGGAAGTAGATTGAAAAACATGTCAGGTAACCACAGACCAAGAACAGAAGGAAAAATAGCACTGTGCTATTTTTCCATTTGAGAAAATGCCATGGACCAAGATCCGTGGGTCACCTGAACCATGCTTATTTTTTGGCCAACAATGAGGTTGTCATCTACCTAAAGAGACTGTTTGGTGTTGTGGGTTTCATAACCTGGAATACACTGATATTTTCCTTTTGAAAGAGTTTGATTTTGTTGTTTTTAATAGTGTCTGTGTCTGTCTGTCTGTCTGCCTGTGCATGTGTATGCAGGTGCTGGTGGAGGGCAGAGATGTTAAGATTCCCTGGAGCTGGAATTAAAAGTGGCTGTGAGCCTCCCATGGTAGGAGCTGGGGACTGAACTTGTGTCCTCTAAAGAGCAGTGTGTGCTTGTCACCACTGAGTCATCTCTTCAGCCCTTTGACCTTGTCTAGTGCTAACTTCTTCTTAGGGCTGTCACAGTCTCAGATGACTGCAAAGGGTCCCTATGAAAACAACTGAAAATTCGGGCATTTACATTTGTTTTATTCTCCTTAGTAGACACTTGAGAAGAAGAAAATAGATTCCAGAATATCCTCTGATAGGGCTGTGGTCAGGAATTCCTGTTACCAGTGTGGAAGATGGAAAAAGTTGAACCTGGAGTGTTCCAAGAGGAAGAGGTGGCCCTTAGCCTTCCTCTGGCTAGCTAGAATGGTTGTTTTAAGTTGGTCTCACTGGTAACAGGAGAGTGAATTCAGGGTAGAGTTGGAGTTTGGTAATATTTGAGAACATTTTTTGGACACTTAAGTTTGCTCATTATCTGCATTGGCTACCAAATGTAGAGTGCTGCTAACCCCAGCCTAGCTGACCAGCTCTGTTATCCTGGGTAAGAAACGCTCTTAGAGGTTCCTCCCTGTCTAACAAGAACATAACAATATAAATGGAAAGGGTACATTAAAACACCTTGTACTTTGCCTCCCATCATTTCAGTAATATAAATGTGTGTAATATAGTACACAACAATAAATATTAACTATATTAACATCATATATTACCTATCAACAATCATTTTTAACATATTGTATAACATTAATAATATATAAGCTTACAGTAGTAATTTAGCAAGTAATAGTAATTAAATAAATACAACTTACTCTCCACTATTTCTGTCAATGTCATATTCAACAATAATATATAGTAATATAATAATAATTCAGCATTCTCAACAGCAGTGATTAGTATCATCATTCTTATAAATATGGAATACAGAAGCAACTTATCTTTAGCATATCTTTGCAATATTTTATCCAGACACAATTCTGCTTTTTAAAAAGTTTTTTATTAGATTTATTCATTTTAATTTTTCTGTGTATTTTGCCTGCATGTATGTATGTGCACCACATGCATGCCTGGTGCCTGTGGAAGTCAATAGAGAACATCAGATCTCCTGGAAATGGAGTTACAGATGATTGTGAACTACCTTCCACGGGGGCGCTGGTAATTGAATCAGGGTCCTTTGTAAGAGCAACAAGTGCTCTTAACCACTGAGCCATGTCTCCAGCCCCCCGTTTTACTTTGTGAGTTAACTAATACTAAGACAGACACAAAATGCACTTGGCTGTGAGTTAACTAATACTAAGACACAAAATGCACTTGGCATGCATTGTCATTATATCTTTGTATTTCACTCCAGCAACCCATCATTGACTGCATGTCAGAAGATGGATACAAGCTAGATCGGATCAAGGGTGAAATTGAATTCCATAATGTGACCTTCCACTATCCTTCTAGACCAGAAGTGAAGGTGAGTGGTCACCTTTTGTCTGATGGTTTTATTATTATTATTATTATTATCATTATTCTTGAGTAACTCATTTTCAGAACCACACACTGATTTCTTAGTGCTGACTCAGTTCCCAAGAACAGAAGACAGAGATCTGTTTCTCTGGAAGTGTCTTTGTGTACTGTTCCAACTTAGGGACACCCTGCATTTCTAAGTGATGATTGTATTGTGCAAATCCCTCTGGTTGGAACACAGTCTAGTACAATACAAGACTCAGGCTAAATCAACCATGTCATCCTCTGTTGAAACGAGTGGCAGATCCTGTCATTCTAGGTATGTTCTAGATAACCCAAACAATCAAGCAGGACAACTTCCAATCACTCCCTTCTTGGAAGCCACAGAAGGTGGAGCATAGTGAGGCAGGAAGTGTGACTGGCCCGGCTATCAGCTGGGAGCAGCTTTGCCTCCCAACGGTAGATTCTCCAGGCCGCTCACTGCATTAGTCCTTACAGAAGGTCACCTGGTGCTGTTGCTCTCCTGTATCTTGTGCTTAGCCATCATGCAGGGCACACAGTGAGGGAAATGTACTGTTTTCCAGAACCTACAGAACAAGACTGTTAGAGGTAACCCCACTCTATAGGAAACTTCCATCCGCTCTCTTGAATGAACTGGCTTTGAAACGATGCTTTGTTTTCATTCAGAATTTAGCATCTCTGGTTTCCCTTTATTAATAATATTTCTGTTATACTCACAGAACTGAATCCTAACACTGGCATTTAGTCCTTGCCCTTTACAGAGTTTTAGACCCAGAAACACAACACGCACATTTATTAGTCAAAGCTATTCAAGTCATATACTCATATACCATTCAAGCATATCATCTGCAAATTGGTTTATTTCTGATCCTTGGTCTATGAATTATCATTACACTTGTGACTTATAGGAGCTTCTTATTTAACTAGTTGAGATTGGCTCCTTGAGGTATCCTAGTATGTCAGATGTATTTTAAATTAGATTTCAAGGCATAATTTTAAAGGTGACCCTTGCTTATTTACCAGTGTTAATACACGGTCATTTTATTGTTGGTAAAAAGCTTTTTTCCAGACAGTCTTCTTTTATTGTTGATTGATGAATATATAAGGATAGTACCATGGGGCATAAGTAAACACACACACACACACACACACACACACACACACACACACACACACTGGCACATATGCAGGAGGTAATGGATACAATACACAAGTCCTCACAGAGCATCCTCCTCATGCTCTAACTGCTTGGTTAAGGGCCCAGTGCCATTCTGAACTTAAAAAACAAGTTCTCTCCTCTGCAGATTTTAAACAACCTCAGCATGGTCATCAAGCCGGGGGAGATGACAGCGCTGGTGGGATCCAGTGGATCTGGAAAGAGCACAGCACTGCAGCTCATCCAGAGGTTCTACGACCCCTGTGAAGGCATGGTGCGTGTCTTCCAGAAACTTCTCAACACGCAGGGACAGGCAGGGCAATGCAAGTGGTGATGTCATTAAATTGATTTTTTTTTAATTTAATATCATTTTACCTTTACCTATAGTGGGTTTTTTTTTTCACATTTTTAATTTCAGCTTCTTTAGCAGCACAGTTTTTTTGTTTTTTGTTTTTGACGAATCAGGTTAGGAGTCAAGCTTTACTATAAAGCACACCTACAAGACAGGAGTAGTTGCTTACTTTGATTGTATCATTGGAAGTCCCTTTTTGGTCACAAGCCAAAAGACAGTAAATGTATTCAGAGGATGGTGAACTACTCATCAGACAAATTAAAAATGTGCCCATTCTGAGACTAGCAATGAGAAATGAAGTGATCTGTACATTACCCGTGTTTCTACACTGAATTTTTTATTTCAATTACATCCTTGTATAAACAGCCACGTTTCCATGGGAATTGTTTCTACTACAGCCTTGTTAGTCTCTGGTTATTCTCCCAGTGGCTAAGAATCATCTAACATTATGACTCAGAAGCTCAAAGGACTCTAAGCTGTGTGATGCTCTTCTGCTCTCTAGGTGACTCTGGATGGCCACGACATTCGCTCTCTTAACACGCGGTGGCTGAGGGATCAGATTGGGGTAGTGGAACAGGAGCCAGTTCTGTTCTCTACCACTATCGCAGAAAATATCCGTTATGGCAGAGAAGACGCAACAATGGAAGAAATAGTCCAAGCTGCCAAGGAGGCCAATGCCTACAACTTCATTATGACCCTGCCTCAGGTACCTTCCCTACAGCCCAGGGGAACACAGAAGGCATCAAAGGAACAATATGTCCTTTTCAATTGAATCCTTGGTCCTTAAATTCTTAATGACATGCTCTAGATTTAGGCCTGGAAATATACCGTGTTTTCCTTTTGAAAAATATGTTGTTTATATACTTGACATCTATCAAACTGAAGATCTGCCTTTCAAGAAAGATCCCTTTGGCGTAGATATAATTTCCTTGTCTCCCTATTAAGCATGTGTTGGAAATTTTGCAATATTTGTCATGAAACAATTCTTGAGAAATGTTTTCTTACTTGTTAGTCACCTTTCAGTTACTGTGACAAAATACCCAAGATAAGGAAGTTATAAGGAAGAAAATGTATTTGGACATACGGTTTCAGTCAAAGGTCAGCTGTTTCCTTGGCTTGTGGTAAGATAGAACATAACTGTGGGGAGTGTGTAGTAGAGCACAATAGCTCACCTCTCAGAAGCCAGAGAGAGAGAGAGAGAGAGAGACAGACAGACAGACAGACAGACAGATGGAAGGAAGGAAGGCAGGCAAGAGTCCTGATGCCTCTTTCAAGGGTATAGCCCCCTCCTGCTCATTGGACTTCCTTTCACAGAGTTACTTCCTAAAGGTTCTGCTGTCTCCTGGTAATGTCACAAGGAGGGACCAAATACTTGATCAGAAGCAAGTGCAGAGAGGAGGGATTCATTCTAACAGTTGAGGATGGGGTCCAGCCATGGCAGAGATGGTGTGGTGGCCTGAGCATGACACAGCTGGTCACACACATTTGTGAGCAGGAAGCTGAGGAAGGTGGATGCTGGTGCAGAGCTGGGTTTCTATTTTCCTTTTCAATCCTAGCCATTGGATAGTGGTCATCTGTATTCAGGGTGGGTCTTCGCCGATTACCACTTCTGGATATGCCCTCAAAATGTATGCAGAGGTGTGTCTCCTAGGTGATTTCAAATCCCACCAAGTTGACAACGATCATTAGCCATTACAGGGAACATTTAAGATCTAAATCATAACTACCACCGTCCCTATGATTCAGTTTTCTTGTGCTTACATGGTTTAACTATTATGCTTAGACCTGAATCTCATAAATTCTAAAGTTCATCACTACACCTCCATTCTGTATGCTCACCATGTCTACAAAGAGTAGCTCTGTAACATATCTACTGTATTCACTATGGTGGTCTGCCAAGTCACAGGACAATTACTAATAGTATATACATGGCTTTTACTACATTGCAAGCTTTGTTCTAGCACTTCACATCTATTAGCTCTAAACCCTCACAACCACCTTGCCAGGTAGCAACTCCTATTGTGTCCATCTGCAGATGAATAATGATGTTCTATGAGGTCAATAACTGCCCCAAATTCTTTGTTCAGCCATTAAGACAAATAGCAGTATTTGCCTCCTGGGGTTCTGTGAGGATTCCATGAGACAACAGCTGTAGAATTTCAATACCATGCTTTATCTGTGGTAAGGAGCCCAACCCTTGGCTGATACTAAGAAAGTCAAGAAGCTGATGTCTAATGCTCCATTGTTAAATTTCAGCATGGACTTAGTCCTGTGGGATACTCAGTCAGGACTGGCTGGGACATTAAGGAGTATAAAATTAGTTTGATCTTTCATTCACAATATAAAGACAGCTTTGGCATTGTGTTTTGCTGTATGTTCAACAGGAGAAAGGAGACAAAAATGTGATATGTGACTTAGTCTCCAATGTTGGATTTTTCAAGACTGATCAATTTTCATTCTGATTGAAAATTTTTATTTGAACATAAACTAAAAAGGAACATCCACACAGTTCAATTAACTATCTCACATGCAAATATATTGATTAGTTAATTCATTTTGGAAAGGGATATTTTATAGACAAATTTCTAAACAGTATTATTAAATAAGAAACACAGAACCAAATACAGAGGTAATAGCCAAAGAGATCAGAGCAATAGCCACTACTAGCCTAGCTTACCACCAACAGTAGCTTCCACAGAGAGAGCTTCTTCCCATCTGACCTGTGTTTTTATTGCCTTCCTGTTCTGCCTTCTCATTGGCTTTAAGCCCAGCCACATGACTTCCTCATCACTGCCTGTCTATACAGACCTCCAGGTCTCTATGGTTGGTACTAGGATTAAAGGCTTGGCTGTGTCCTTGACCACACAGAGACTCTGCCTGCCATGTGATTGGATGAAGGGCATGTGCTCCCACTGCCTGACTTCTGTTTATGGCTATGACCTCTGATCTCCAGGCAAACTTCATTAACATGCAAATAAAACATCACATTTCAGCACAAATAAAATATCACCACAATATTTCTTTCAATAAAAGTAGGACCTGTAATAATTCACACTTGAGAGAAAAGTTAGAAGGGGTACTGGATCACTGTCAGGAGCCATCAAATTCTTCTCTCTCATAATTCCTAGCAATTTGACACCCTTGTTGGAGAAGGAGGAGGCCAGATGAGCGGTGGTCAGAAACAAAGAGTAGCCATTGCTCGAGCTCTCATACGGAACCCCAAGATCCTGCTTTTGGACATGGCTACCTCGGCACTGGACAATGAGAGTGAAGCCAGGGTACAAGGAGCACTGAATAAGGTTGGTGGAGAGTCAGTTCGTTTTACAGGCCCTCCAGGGAGGGAATGATACTAACAGGTCAGTACATCCAGTCTGAAAATTTATAAAATATTGGTCAATTACCATCTATTTTGAGTTGTACAGAACATAGTTGTGATTTTTTTCCCCAAGTTGCAATATTAAATCATATAAAGTGTAACATGATTTGAATATCCTCTCCCCAAGTAAGCTATTGATTAATCGCCATAATCAGGCCAACCTATGATGTGATTTATGACTACAAGAAACTGTTGGTTATTTCTGAAATATGCACAGCCTGTTTAGGCTGTTCCTAGGGTCTAAAACTGACTTCCTTGTGGACTCAGGGATGGTGTGAAGGTTGGTGTTGGTTCTGTCTTACAGTCTTGTTTAAGGGTACACCATGTCCTCTTACAGATTCAGCATGAGCACACGATTGTCTCAGTTGCCCATCGCCTATCAACAGTCAGAGCTGCAGACGTGATCATTGGTTTGGAACATGGAGCCGCTGTGGAAAGAGGCACCCATGAAGAACTGTTAGAAAGGAAAGGCGTCTACTTCATGCTTGTGACCCTGCAAAGCCAGGGAGATGAAGCCGTCAAAGAAAAGGGTGTAAAGGGCAAGTACCTTTTCCCTTCGGCCTTATAGTATACTAAATAATTGACATCTCTGGTACTGGATGAATTTATACACTTGTGGGTATGTATTGCTTATTCTCCCAAGGCCCTGCAGACATTATGCAGTTGATAAGGGAACTAGATAAAACACAGAAGGTTAAGTTATCTGGTCAAGTTACAGAGCTGAAGCCAAGGCCCTTTGCTTTTCAACTCTACCATTTTTTAAGTAGGATAGACAGGCTTCCTGGATATGTCAAGCATATGGAGGATTGTCATTACTATTGTGTGAATTAAACAATGACTAAATATTTTGCATTTGTTTTCAAATGGAGATAGACACTTCAAGCCCTACTATGCCTTCTTTTCCTCAATCTGAATAATCAGACCTGGGGGTTATCGTGAGCTAATTAATCAACCACTCTTGACTTTCTCTACCGCCTCCCATGTGGACTCATGAACAACATTAGGCATAACTATTGCATATATTTGACACCCATGAAGTCTGTAAACTTTGAAAGTTTGCTGGTTGTATCAATGTTTTTTTTTTAATTTTCCCAACTCTAGTGAGTTTTTATTAATTTTTAAAATTCATACTGAAAGATACTTATGTCTATAGAGGTAACAGCCGGCACACATTTCATACAAGTCAATCTTACTGAATACTTTGAATTTTTTTTGTTATTGTTAGAATGTGTTGGACAAGTTTCAAGTTTTATTTATTGCAATAAGTTAATAGGATGTTTGGGTATCCCATGCAGTAATTACCTTCTGAGCCAATAGTAAATTATTCTGTGTAAATACAGCCAGGCTTATTATGTGCTCTAAGGAATGCCTCATTTTGTGTTAAACAGGAAAAGATACAAGCAAAGGTGGTCCCCTTGAGAGGACGTTCATCAGAGGGAGCTATCGAGAGAGTTTAAGGTAAGCACAAGCCATGTGATTTTCAAGTTTTCTGATGTTTATGAGCCTTCTACAGTTGAGTCCTTAGGCAATATCTCAGGTCCAAGAAGGGACCTTATGCAGACTCCAGGTCTTGTGATGTAAGAGTATGACAATTTGTTTAACTTTGTCATTTCAATCTGTTGAGAGGAGGGCCATGATGGAGGGCTCTCTGATTAAAATGTTTATTGAGCTTAGAATAGAGATTTTTATATTATTATTGGTTTTAATTTTAGTTTTATGTGCATGGATGTTTCGCCTGTATGCATTTTTGTTCACCATGTATATGCCTGATGCCTACAGAGGCCAGAAGAGGGAAATGGATTTCCTGGGACTGGAGTTACAGCTGGTTGTGAGCCTCCATGTGGATGCTGAGAAGTGAGACCTGGAGAGCAGCCTGTGTGTGCCCTTACTCACTGAGCCATCTCTCCCACCCCTAGAATAGGGGTTTTTAAAACTACTGTGGTAGCTTGGTACTGATATCCATATACTTAGGAGGCTGAAGCAGGAAGATCACAAGTTCAAGGCTAGCTTGGACTACATCATGAGATCCTATCTCATGAGAAAACATACAAATAATTACAAACAAACAAACAAACTGCCAGGCACCTAATCTTTCCCCACCAAACTTAACCACTGTTTGAAACACTCTTATATGAAGGCCATCTTTACCCATTTAGCTCTGTTCTTTATCCTGAGTGAGAGGCAACTGAACGTCTAATACTTCTGCTCTCAGAGTGAAGCATTTGGACTCAAATCATTCCTTAACTAGATGGAATAAAATGCGTGTTTTAACTTTTAAACAAGATGTCCCCAAAATGAGATATTTATTTTCCTGTGTTTATGTATAAAACTATTCATTTTCAAAACATAGTTTTGGAGCGTGCTGTTAGTGAGACTGTAAATCGTCATTTTTACAAATTTAAAAATTTTCTGGTGTTAAAAGTTATGTATTAAGAATTCTATCCAGAAATATTTGTCTGTGTTCATAAAAATATTGTTAACACATTTTCTCCTTCAGTCAGAAAACAAGTAACAAGTTATGGTTGATACATCTCTCTGCCACTGGCTTCACCATTTCCAAGACAGTAAATGAAAGACTGCTCAGAACAAAGACTCAGTGTAGGTCTTGCGTGCTCAAGATGGCTACTTGTTTACTGAAAAGGAGTTAAAGCTGCTTAAAATAGAACATTCTGATAAAAGATTCACATAGTCAAAATCATTTTATTTATTGTTAATTTTTAAGGAATAATTTACTAAATTATTTGTACCTATTTCAAATATAGATAGATTTTTTTATACTAATGTATCTTTTCATTATAGATCTAATTCTCAGACGTGTTTTTTTTTTTCTCTCTTTAGAACAAATCTACTGAAGAAAAAGAAAAAATTTTAAAGTGTTAGCATTATTGAGCTGGAAAACAAAGCATTATCTTCAAATTACTCTATATAGTAGAAGATTTGTTAGGTACATTTTGTTACAGAATTGTTAGGTACATTTTGTAGACATGTGGCACTATGTTTGACCATGGCATTATGTTTCATCGTGAGTAAAATACAAGAATCACAACTTAAAGAGAGCAACTACTTTCTTGAACACAATGACTGGGCACCTCGCTCCATCACTGGGTTAAAATGACATGTATCTTGTGGTCATGTCAACAAGAAAGTAAATGATTTATTTATTTTGAAGAACAAAATTCTGTTCATTCTAAGTAGTCTATGATGAGAAACAGATAACTATTTTCACACAAGTATCTCTTATTTGGCTATATTTTCCACAAATCCTACATTTTAATGACTAGGACTAAAAAGCCAGAAAGACAATCTACATACAAAAAGTAGCTATTAACCTCCTGCAGAGAAAGATTTCTAACTTTGAATAAGGAGTTCTATTAAAAATATCTCATTGTAAGGGGTGACAAGATTTTCTTCTGGAAGAGGACTAAATGAAATGTTAATTTGTATCTTGTTTCTTGGGCTATAGTCTTTCTGATAGCTGAGTCTTACTTCAAATATATTTTAGGTTCAAAAACAAGTTAGTTGGCAAAAGAAAATAATTTCCTAAATAATAATGTTGAGAAAGAGAGAAAGAGCATTTATTTCCCCAAATTAGCTGTTTCTCTTTGCAGTGAAAAGTGGTAAACAACTTTTGACAAAGTGAGGATTTCTTAAAGAGAGTGTTGCATCATTTCTGAAAAGGGGTGTGAAGGAGTCTTACCAGAGAGTTTCTGATAAGGCAGACTGGGGACCAGCTGGTAGGCAGAGCCCTTCCCCTGCACGCCTAGTGCTCATGGTCTCCTAACAGCCTACTATGTTAGAGAGGCGGAGGGGTGCGAGGACCAGGAGAGAGGGAGATTTAAGAAGTACAAGATTAAGGCAGTAGAAACCTGAAGGAACTCACAGAAAGGTCTTCCTACATCCGGAAATGGGTATTAAACACAATTAAATATTGACATTCTCTCCTTTCTCATTTACTCCTACCTTGGTGTCAACTGCTGTGAGTTTGATTAGATCCATGGCTTTGAGTTTCACTCATCTCATATGCCCCCTGACACCCTATGGCCACCCTGTGATCTCCAGGCGACACGGCCTTCTTCATAATCTGGAGATGTCCGAGCATTAGTTACCTAACCCAAAGAAATAACTCTATATGCATCCTCGACATACCACACCGAGTCAGAGTTAAGTTCAATATCCCAGACATTAGGTTGGGGACAGTGAATCAGGCTTCAGGGATGCTTTTGTTCTTGATCATCATGGGGCTTGGCCAGAGTTTGAATGTACAAGGTTAAAGAAGAGAGGTGACTTCTGTGAAATGTATGGTGTTGAACCCAGATGACTAAGAGGGAGACCATTCATGTAGTGTGGGAAGGGATTATCATAATGAAGTTGACATGTTTCTGATTCCTTGGGAAGCAGATGGTGACAGGCACCATCTTGGCATTGTTTTAGTCTAATCTCCCCTACATACAAATAAGAGAGGCCATGTAGATTATTCTAGAGTTGGAAGAGTTGACATGGTCCCCTCACCTCTATCGTCTCTCTTCTTACACTGTACTACTTCAAATTAAGTCTTCAAAAACACAAACTTAACTATTGAAAATTTCTGCACAGCATCCACCAGATTTTTTTCCTTACACTAGCTGTAATTATATGCATTGCCCTCCTCTGGGATTTAAACTCCTTGAGAAAGACATCTGTGATTTGGCTCGTCTTTATGTTCCCTCTAGCACCAACGTTGGATTTTTACATGCTGTAGGGACCCAATAAACTGCAGATGAATGAACAAATATATTAAGCTAAATTATATTTCAATAATTTTTTTCCCTGTAGGCAGTCGAAATAAGCTTCGTCACACCTAACTTGGAAGCTCTTTGGCCTGGTTGCCATGTGACCTACAAAACCTAGAGAGAGTCTCACTGGGGACCCTATTTTTCTTTGTTATGTCACTTATATCCGGGCGGCAGCACCCTTAAGGGGAGAAGGACTGAAGAGGAAGAGGGGGAGAAAAAGGAGAGGTGGGAGAGGGAGAGAAATAGAGACACAGAGAGTCACAGACAGAGACACACAAACTCGACAGAGACTAAGAAGCTGTCCCCTAAACCAGAAGGAAAGACCAGTGATAAACCATCACCTTTGCCATGCAGCAGCTGCCAGAACCACGTGGTCTCCGAACACACTTGAGACTTGGGCAGTTTTTAGTAGGTCAATGGGAAGCTTTGCTCCCTTCCTGGTATACACTGAATCTGGACCCAGTAGTGACAGAGCTTGGGTTTGAGAGAAATCTACCCGCTTTACTCTGACCACAGATAAACTTCACCAAACCTTACCTGGAAGCTCGCTGCCCTGGTTGTCGAGTGATCCACCAAACATTTCTGTTGATTTGATGTGTGCTGTAAACTGGGACACCCGTTGAGTCCCATTGTAACCTGTTTGCCATCTACAGCCTGTCTTGTCTTGCTGTTTTTTCCAGAGCTTCCATCCGGCAACGTTCCAAATCTCAGCTTTCTCATCTGACACATGAACCCCCGACGGCGATTGGTGATCACAAATCTACTTATGAAGACAGCAAGGTCAGACACCATTGTTCCGGGGAGGGTCGGGGCACAGAGGAGTCTTTCCCGGGTACCCCATCTATCTTTAGGTATATATGCTCCTAGGTGTATAGTCATGGCTTACTAAGTCAGACCAAAGAGGGGGACATTAGGACCTAGTTAAAACTCCATATTTTACATACACCCCTCCCCTGCAAAGAACATAGATTCACTAGTTAATTTCTTTGAAGAACATATATTAAGTTAAACTGAATTGTTAAGGGATAGCTACCAATTTTTAGATGAATAATTATTATCAACACAAAAAATATGTTTCTTAAACATACATAGCAAATTATTTTTTTATGGTGGTAACTTTTTAAAGTTTTAAAGAATATCTCAAATCATTTTTTTCTCAAAATTTAAAATTTCTTTTTAATTGGTGAAGGTATTTGATAAAACTAGACCTTATACAAATTGTCACAAGTTTAAAATACAAAGGTACACTCATGAGAATGGAGATATTCTGCTGTTGTAGACATTATCTTTTTTATAAGGGACCACGTGTCAAACCCCAAGTCTTTCCCCCCCTGGATGGACTCCCTTTTGACCCCTCTGTGCCCTTCATTAGAACTTCATCATGGGCCTCTTTGTTTCTGAAGCCAATCTCTGTTCTCTTACCAAATTTCAGGCTTCTTAGACGTCCTGCCCCATTACGTCTCTGTTGACTCACCACAGGCCCTTTGCCCAGCGCCTAGTATCAACAGGTTTTTGTTTTTAACTGGAATGAAAAAATTGAGTTTCTCTGACTAAAATGAAGCCCAAACTCATCTATGTATCAAGTTAAATAAGCCAGGGGATATTGTAATTACAAGTACATCCATTATGTATGATGTAATTTCAAAATGCCTTCAATAAAACCCCAACTTATGAATCCATTAAGACATCGTTAGAAACACTGGCTCACAGAGGAGAAATTTGGGATAAATTCTTGACTGATAGCCTTTAAGACCTTATGGACGATGGGTTATTAAGGCTCTCTCCTGTCTTGCTCTATTAACATTGAATAGAGGTCTCAGTGTTGAATAAATTTGCTTCAATAAATTCCATAGACCCTTCTTTCTCAGGAGTTGGCAAGATGAATCACAATGAGGAACACACATTTGTAAGGATGATTTCTGGCCACAGAGGAATTAACTATTTCGTTTATGTTCATGGCACTGGGAATAAAACAATTAAAATCTTTTGGATGGTGCTAGAACAACTTTTAAAAGATGCCATTTTATATTTCTCTTGTAAAGGAGATGAAAATGAATAGCAGGAAAAAAAGATGTTGAGAAGTTGGTATTATGTTGTTCAAGCTCCAAAAGGAAACTATCTGTTGTTCCCTGATATTTCTTGTGGGTACAGTAACTATATCAGAGTCCTTTCGACTTGAAGAAAAATTTAAAGGAAATAACGTAATATAATTTGGCTAATGGAATTTCCATTTCTTTCTTTTTGGACTAATCGATTTTTAATCCTAAGGAGTCACTGTATGAGAGGGTGTGGTTTTGTTTTAGTATTTCAAAGTATTTTAATACTTCTTTAAAGTCTTCAAGGCCAAGCAGGATTCTTGCTCTTCCTCATTCTGATGGCGAAGGCGGGCCTCACCTTCTGTGGCATGGGAAACGGTCTGTTGTGTTGCTAAAGGTCCTGCTTCCACAGAGCAATTACCGCCACCTTGTGGTCTCTCGGGGTATTTACAGAACACATAGCTGGGTTGAGGCTTCTGTTAAGTCTGCTGTTCAGAACTCTTAAGTGAGTGACTCGTCCAAAGAAAGGGTCAACTAGTGACAGGACTAAGCCAGTTCTCCTTCTCCAAGCTATATCTTTAGCTTCCATAAATGGGACCAGTTGGTAGATATCCTGATCAGGGTAAGTTTAAGATTAAGGGACGTCGACAGAGTAGAGATTTCAGTCTCTGATATTTATGAATCTTCTTCAGTAAAACTAATATAAATGATATAGATAGATAGATGATAGATGATAGATAGATAGATAGATAGATAGATAGATAGATAGATAGATAGATAGATAGATAGATAGATGATAGATAGATAGATAGATAGATAGATA